GATGGTGGCGGTGTACTCTGAAACGGTTCCTGTTGGCTGGATTTCAACTGCAAACCTGAAAGAACAAACTCATTAATCCAGGATTTGTTAGCTGTGTGGTAAAAAGCAGCATTAGATGTCAAACTCAGATGAGCTGATCGACCTTCTCACCTGGTTTCTCCGGTTAGAGGGGGACACGGTGCCTGATCCACAGAGGTAGGGTTGGAGTAACGCACTGCTGTGCAGAGCTTCAGACCACTGAACAGAGGCTGGCAGTCGACCGAGTCGGCCCGGTCTCCCGCCTTGCACGGCCCCGTCGTTGTTTGACCGGATGACAGAGACAGCACCTTGGTGCTGCATTTCAGAAAGAGCGTGAGTGAGGTGAGTGAGAACAACACGACTCACAGAGAGAAGGACTGTGGGTCACTGACCTCACGCTGAACAGCTGAGTGTTCGACTGAGGAGCAGGGATGGTCAGCTTGACCTGCCTTCGGTTAACTGTGGCTTTAGCATTAAGGGAACTTTCGTGGTACATGTTGGTGTGCGTCTGAATCCCGGCGTCCACGTAGTCTGGAATGTGCACGCCCATCTGGGTGATGAACTCCAGTCCAACCGAAGGCATGAAGGACAACTGGGTCTGCAAAGACACAGAGCAGCTGTAACACAGGGATTCATGACTCTTCTTTCTTTTTTCCTTTTTAGTTTATAAGAATAATTTTATATATTTATTTATTTTTCCATAGCATTACATTTGAATTTAACAGTTCAATCTTTCAAATAACGGACAAATATTTGTGAAATAATTTTAACAATCTAAACAGACAAATACATTTAAAAAAAACAAGAAAATTGTGTTTTATTACATTTACAGTGATTTTACGTTAATCTACATTTGAAATGTGAAATCAGTCTATTTATCTAAATGTAATGATATTCTAGAAGAACAGGACAAAACTGTAAAATACTTTTATATTACAATTTTTTTTCACCAGATTGAACCGTTAAATTCAAAAGTGATGCTGTGGAAAAATAAATAAATATATAAATGATTCTTATAAACTTTTTTTACATCACATAATTATTAATATTATTTCATTATTGCTATTCAGGGCGTGCTATCGTGGCTCAAGAGTTGGGAGTTCATCTTGTAACCGGAAGGTTGCTGGTTCAAGACCCGGCTCGGACACTCGGTTGTTGTGTCCGTGGTTAAGACTCTTCACCTGCTGGTGATGGTCAGAGGGGCAGATGGTGCGATATGGCAGCCTTGCCTCTGTCCCAGGGCATGCAATCCATTATTATCTAAACCAACTGTTAACTGTATATTTAAGTATTATTATTCATATTGCCACATTCATTGACCTTGTTTACAGGTAATTGTTTAATCACATTAAAATGTTCCTAATTTAATGTTTAAAAGCACTAAAGGCAAAATCTCATGTAAAATTAGGGCAACAAACTTTATTGTCATTACTGAAAATAAACATATTTTTATGAGAAGGTTATTTTCTGTTATTATTTTGGGCCCCAGCTGCCAGATTATTACTGTTTTATAGGATTGTTTTAACAGTGTGCATTCTTTCATATATTCCATGGTGTTTAATATATGCATGAACATTTTTGTACTTTAACTTCATAAAAGGAACCAAAGGGGACCCTGAAGAAAAATGTCATTTCTCTTCCAGCTTTTTCACAACCATAACTCCGGAGCTTCCTTCATGCATGGGAATAACATGGAGAGTTAAAAGCAGCGAGCAGCTAGCAGCTAGCTAAACAGGCACAGAAAACTACAAATATGAAAGGAACAGACCAAAGAACATTAAACTTGGACAATAGCAAATAAAACTGTCTGACAATTCAGAAAGTTATGATCAGGAACATATCCAGAAAAAAAATTAAACAAGTAAATATTGTAAATCTTGTATTTAAAGATGTATTATATATTATATCTTTGGATATACCTTTGGAATAATGTTACCAGTGTTTTGCATCCGATGCAGCAGCTCTATATCCTACAGGTTGCAAGTTGTATTTGTTTTTTGTTTTTTTGGCCTGTCTGGGATTCATGACCTGTGATGTGATGAAGAGCAGCTAACATACCGCTGCCGAGGGCGTCAGGCCTCCTCTGACACCTGGTGCAAACACACCAGCCAGTGAGAACTTGAGAGGGAAGCCAGATGTGGTGGGTAGAGCAAAGGCATTCTCCATGAAGATGTAGTGGGCAAAGACTTCATTGTCAGTCCTGGATATGAGTTCAGAGAACACCTTTTGGAAAGAAAACAGGAGAAAACAAACATGATGGGAGAGTCCACTGTCACAATTGGATCCTCTAAAGCACCACAAAGGTTGCTCCAGAGTGGTTTTTAGATCCTAAGCAGCAAATAAAATTAAAAAGTAAAACAAAACTAATGAACTAAATCATCTGTGATTCTCTCCTGATGTTATGTTTTGTTCTAATGTCGCCGTGCTGGCTGCATCGAGGCACCGATGCACACTGAAGCTGAAGCTGTCACATCTGAAGCCACTTCCTGCCACGATCAACACACCAAACGGTCAGGAGACAGAAAGTCTCACCTGGGCAGGTAGTACCCTGATGAAGACGTGGTAGTACATGAACAGAGTCTCAAACATTTTCCTCATCTCGCCGGTCTTCAGATATCCAATCTCATTCCCCAAAAGTCGGAGGTAGGCGGCGGCTTCAGGCGCTGGAGAGGAGCTCACATCGTTCACAAGTCTCTGGATTCTGTCTGCCATGTCTTTCAGAAAGTCTTCTGGGATCTGAGAGCACAGTCTATGTTCAGCATGTGACGTAGCATTGGCACATGTGGTAGCTCCGTGCACGAGGAGAACCTCTCACCTGTCTCTTCCTTCTGTCTCGTTGAGGTGCTATTCTGTCCAAAATGGCTTTGAGGATCGGGGCTTTGTCCTGCACCAAGTACATCAGTCTGGACATGGACTCAGGGAGGAAACCTCTCTCCCCAAAAAGAGCATCGATCGTCGGTTCGAATCCCGTTCCTTCAACGCCGACCTAAAACAGGAGATTTTAAATGTTTGGACCTCGACAGAAAACTGATTTTTGTACTGCAGATTCATCCAATACCTCGAAGATGTCGTAGCTGTAGTCAAACACCTTCAGCGTGGTCTCCAGCATCATCTCCTTGGGTAAGGTGTCGCTTCCATCAAAGATGACGTTGCTCTGGATTGATCCCAAGGAGGAGTCCAGCTTGTAGTTGCGGGACACGCCATCAAAGATGGCGCCCGTGGGTGACAGCTGGCCATTCAGGGCCAACTCAGTGTACTCCCTGAGTCTTTGGAAAGGACAACAAATGATATTTAATAGTGTTTATTAATATAATGCAGAATCAGCAGCACTTTTGTTTGTTTTCAGTCGTGATCAGTCGTGATCCCCGGCAGCTGCCCTCCTCGTGCTACGGTGGCATCTATCAGCCCAGAGTCATCACAGATACAGACGATACATGAGACATCTAGTGGTGAGGTGAAGAAGTGCATGTACAATCTGTGACAATATGATTGTGTATCAAACAAAGCTTCTTTCTCTGCTTTAACTTAAGTCCCTCAGCTGTGAAAGCCTAACGAGGCTTTAACGAGGTCAAGAGCAGGGAGGCCTGGATGGATGTTCCTGTCCTTTCTCCACTTTGCCCTCTGATATTTGGACCGACACATCTTTGCTCATTACACATGTCAGCCTCAGCTCCTGTTTATTTCTTATTTTTAAAGTCTGCTGCAGTCCTGTTATACAGAACACTTCAGTTTATTTCAACCAGCTAACGATGCGGCTGCTCAGCGAGTTTCTGACTTTGTCTGTCTGTAGTTTTGGTACTTAGTCCATTTAATGTCATCACATAATAACATAAATGTGCGAATGTGCTGGAAACACGAATAAAACAGGAGGATGTAACCACCGTAGCGACGAACAGGCCGCAGGGTTTCTATCATTGCCCTGTAACCATCATCATCCAATCCTGTCTTTGCCCTCAGAGTCAAACACACTTTGAAGTCTTGATGTTTAAAAACCTCACGTGAACATTCTGGATGTTTCGATCGAACCAACCTGACATAAAACCCAGACAGCAGACGCTCAGGTGCTGGTAACAAAGTAGCCCCGCCCTAAATCGTTTCCAAAGTGAACTTCATGTTTTCTTCAGTCAGACCTGAAACTAGAGGCAGAGCGCACTGAAAGAGTTCACTGAGCTCAGAGATGACCATCCGCCTCATACAATCAGATTTCAGAGGAGTCGCCCCCTGCAGGACATCCCTGGTC